TCTAGGTGCCATGATCAGTGCAAGTGCAAGCTTTTCTAATTGAGGATATCGCGTCTCCGCATCTAATAATGATCTACTGACATAATAAATTGGAGGTTGTTTACCTTGGTCTTCACGAACTAAAACAGCACTTACCGCTACTTCTGAGACGGCAAGATAAATGAGCAATCTTTCTCCAACCTTTGGTTTTGCGAGCAACGGCGGATTTGACAAGTATGTCTTCAAATATTTGAGTGCCTGTTGACATTCCCCAGTTCATTCGAACTGGTCTTGCTTTTTAAGAGCTGAAAAGAATTTAAAGCACTTTTCGGATGATTTGGAAATAAATCTCCCCAAAGCTGCAATTCTTCCTGTCAATCTCTGTACTTGTTTTTTTATTTGTAAGTACATCAGGGATTTCTTCAATGGCTTTAATCCGCGCTGGATTCACCTCAATACCACGGTTAGAAACAAGAAAACCTAAAAACTTACCTGATGCAACACCAAACGCACATTTCTCAGGGTTTAATTTCATATTGAACTTCCGCAAGATCTTAAACGTATCTGATAAGTGCGATATATGATCCCCCGAATGCTGAGTTTTGACGAGCATATCATCTATATAGACCTCCATAGTTTTTCCCAAGTATTCTTGGAACATTTTGGTCACCAGTCTTTGATACGTTGCACCAGCATTTTTGAGGCCAAAAGGCATTACTTTATAGCAGTAAGTCCCCCTGTCTGTTATAAATGAGGTTTTTTCTTCATCTAAAGGATCCATTTTAATTTGGTTATAACCTTAATATGCATCTAAAAATCTTAACAACTCATGTCCTGCAGTAGCATCAATTAGTTGATCTATATGTGGTAATGAAAAAGAGTCTTTGGGACAAGCTTTGTTAAGGTCTGTGTAATCTACACAAACTCGCCACTTACCATTCTTTTTCGGTACTACAACAGTATTAGCTAACCAATTAGGATACTTTACCTCGCGGATAGACCCAATTTTTAGTAATTTTTGGACCCCATCTTGAATCACCTGATTTTTGAAAGCTCCTTGCTTTCTCTTCTTTTGTTTGACAGGTGTATATAAGGGGTCTTCATTTAACTTGTGAGTCATTACCTCCGGTGGTATTCCTGTCATATCAGAATGGAACCAAGCAAAATAATCTGCGTTAGCTTTTAAAAATTCAATCAACTTACATTTCACGTCTTGGCTAAGATTGGCCCCTATGTAGATTTTCCTTTCAGGCCAATGTACAAATAATACTACAGGCTCCAGTTCTTCGATCGTTGTTTTGATATTTTCGTTTTCTTCTGGTTCTTCAATGGAATCGGGCCTTGAATCTACATATATTTGCCCTTATTCAGTTGAGGTTTGCGTTGTGGTATCCTCAACTGAATACTGTAATTGCTATTTTTCTTCATTTCTCGTGCTTGAATCTGCTACGGAGTTAATGTTCCTAGATGTTTGTTGATCTCCACGGATTTGACATATTCCCCACGGTGATGGAAATTTAATGACTTGATAAGGTCGACGGAACAGCATCCATCTCGTGGATCCATGGCCTCCCTAAAATTATGTTGTGAGCCATTTCCAGCTCCACTACCTGAAACTTTGTATCTTTGACAACTCCTTCTACAATTGTAGTAAGTATTACTTCTCCTTTCGTCACGATGCTGGACTTGTCGAACCCGGACAAAGTATGCGCCTTGGGTACTAATTTGGCTTTAGCTTGCATCTCGTGTAGAACTCTTAGCAGAATAATATTCACAGAGCTACCTGGATCAATCAAAACTCGTTTCACATTAGTGTCATGTACAAGTAAAGATATTACCAGTGCGTCGTTATGTGGAGTTAATACGCCATCCGCATCATCAAACATAATGCTTTCTTCCTCTAAGACATGTCGCACCCGCTTCCCGTTGGTAACCGTGACTTTGGATACTTTATTTGCTGTTGTATACGTCACACCATTGATTTCTTCACCTCCACTTATAACATTAACGGACCTTTTTGGAGAGGGCGGTTTAGGGGGCTCCTGCCTATTCTTCATGTATGCTTGCTTTCTTTTCTCGCTGAATAACTCAGTGAGATACCCTTGCTTCAACAGATGATCAACTTCACCCATAACAACCTATAATCTGCCGTATTGTGACCATGATCGTGATGAAATTCGCACCAGTGGTCGGGATTGCGCTTGTTTGGATTTGACCTCATCTCTTTTGGACACCGCACTTATCACCCATGATTCTTAAAACAGCTACGAGCTTGGAAGTTCTTACATTAAAATTATAACCACCGAACCGCACCTTCAAGTTTCTATCATCGTCTTGTGACTCTCGTGTGTTGCGATCATTTCCAAACCTGGATGATGAACCCGATTCTCTATTTCTGGATCTATGATCGTACCTTGAATGATCATGCTTGGACCGTGAATCTTTTCCAGCTGGGCCCATATATGGTTCGTACCTGTTTTTACCGGATCTTTTTTCTGTTTCCGCCCGTCTTGAACTTACCTTTTCTTCTTTTTGAGATCGTGAGATGATATCTTCTTCGATCCTTAACTTCGTGCTATACCGGTTGTAGACGTCATTCCATGTCGTTGCTGGGAATTCACGAAGACTTTCCTTGAGCCGCCTCGTGGCTTCTGAGCTTTTTTCATTCAAATTACTAGTGAAAGCTATAGCTGCTCAATTATTTGGTACACGTGGTAACGTCATTCTTTCACGCTGAAACCTATCCACGAACTCCCTAAGCAACTCAGAATCCCCTTGTTTGATTTTGAAAATATCCTCCATTCTCTTTTCGACTTTTTGAGCTCCCGAATGTGCTTTAATAAATGAATTTGCAAGCTCAACAAAAGAATTTTCGGGTAAAAGAGAATACCATGTTAATGCTCCCTTAGTGAGCGTTTCTCCAAATTTTTTGACCAATACTGATTCAATTTCTTGTTTGGTCAAGTCGTTGCCTTTTACTCCAGTTGTAAATGCAGTCACATGGTCTCGTGGATCAGTTGTTCTATCGTATTTTGGAATATCGAGCATTTTGAATTTCTTTGGAATTGGTAGAGGAGCAGCGCTTGGCTTCCAAGGTTGCTGCGAATATTTGTCCATATCTATTCCTCTGATTACAGGCGGCACTCCAGGTATTTGCTCTATGCGGTCACTTTGCTCCTTAAGCTGTTTCTGCAATGTTAGAACTAAATTTTATAAATCGGAATTGACTACGTTACCTGGTTCTCCCTCTCGTGATTCACTGGGGATTCCACCACTGCCTGAATTAACAAGCCCAGAACGAGGGTTTTCCAAAGTGTTGGTATTTGGAACTGGTGTTGATGGTGCAGCAGGTAATTGGCTGGCAAAAGCCTCAAGAGCTTTATTGACCTGTTGAGCGATCAGCTTCTGCAAAGCTTCATTGATAGCTTCATCGTTGTTAAATTGAGTATTTGAATTTGAGTGAGATCCATCAGGAGTTCCTTCTCGAGATCGACGAGGCGAACTTTGTGGAGAAGGGATCGGAGTGTGAACATCTTGTGGGTCCCCTTGGAGTTGATGGTTTCCTTGATTTTCTTGGTTTCCCTGGGTGTTATCGTTAACATTTGACATGATTGTTGATGTAACGAAATAGATAAGGTTAAGAAAGAATAGATTATCAGATTCCCGGTAACGGAACCAATTTGTTTAACCAAAAAATGGAATTTCAGTTAAAGCTTTATTTTTAGAAGAACTCGGGTTACTGATAATCGGAAATGAATAAAAGAAATGGATTTTGATAACCAATAGATAGCAGAAAATAAAGTAAACCAGTATATTCAGATGATATTGTCGTGTCCTTACAAATGATCAGTCTTCTCCCTTTTATAGCTATTTTTAAGTTATACGTTTTGCCTTTGTCATAATAAGGTCATTATGGACGATTAAAGGCATTAAATGCTACGTTACATAATCATTGCAATTTAATACAGATCCTCTAACGTTTTCAGTATTTAATGCTTATTAAACACTGTATCTGGGCTCTCCTGTGTTGTCAGGTTTATTCTTCTCAGCTTTTAGACTTAAATAGGTACGAGCATCGAGTCTTTTGAATATTTGCTCGTGCCTCTTCTTGTGCTTCCGCTCGTATCTGTTGCAACTCGTGCCTCTTTGCTTAATCACCATTCTTTGACCTGCCTACGCGTCATGACATGTCATCTTTCAATCACTTGGATATGCATAAACTCAGTTTTACCCAATACAGTTTGAAGATCCAATGTTTATATTTGGTTAAATAAAGAGTTTTATTAGCAAGTAAATGTTTATTTACAGACACTTCAAAGATGAATTGAAATTGGACAGATGGCCCCAATCTCAATCACTCAACTTCAACTAGCATTACAAGATATTTAAGAGTTACAGTATGGATTTTTGAAAGTAAGAGACTTGCAACTATGATTTATCTGTAAACAAATTCAGTGGCGAAGCTAGAAATTTTCTCAAGGGTGTTTAAATTTAAAAGTAGTGAAAAAAATTTCCGACAAAGGGTGTTCAATATGTGTTATATACCTCTAAAACGTAATATTTACCTATGTACACAGTGTAATTTTTCGACGAAGGATGACCAGTTGACAATATTCAGGCCCCAATTCTTGAGATACTTCTTGCTCAAAGGATCTCCCAGTAGGATCTTGCACTGACATAATATTGGGCAGCATAAGATATACTTACAACAGTTGTGGTACACTCATCTCATAGTATTGGGTGGTGCACGTTAGCAAGTCACACTAATAATTTGCATATTTCACCTATTTTCTATCCAATCAAACATCGAAAAATGATTAATTAGACTTAAAAATAACCTCGTAAGGGAAAATATTTTGCAATTTTCTGTCGTACCAACTTCTCTGTCATTCTACTCCTAATAAAGTTGTTTTGCCATTCAATGTTTGATTAAATATTGAGGTAAAATAAAACTGGATAAACCATATAAGCTAGAAACCAAATGATGGTAATATTTTGTAATTTTCCATTGCCAACGCTAAGATTACAGTTTTTCCCATTAGTTATTTGTAGTGTCACGGGCAAAATAAAGAAAAATAAGAGAATTTGGAGAGGATATAAGAGGAAAATGGACAAAGAAAAGCAGTCAACATCATAAGAAGATAAATGTTGTGTAAAAGCAGGAATATCTGTTCAATCTACAGAAGCATCTCAGTCGCTGCTGCACTTTCCTCAAAACCCAATTCCCATTTCATCCCAGACTCCGTTTTTCACTACACAGAAGAGGTTTTAGCATCAAAACTTGCTCCAATTCTACAATCCTGCACTTCTCTTACAGAAAGTAATATTGGTTCTGTTCTTAAAAAAGGAAAGCAGGTTCATGCCCAAGTCACTGTAAATGGAATCGACAACTTGGGTATTCTTGGTACAAGGATCTTGGGCATGTATGTTTTGTGTAATAGGTTTACTGATGCCAAGAACTTGTTTTTTCAGCTGCAGTTGTGTTATGCTTCCCCTTGGAATTGGTTGATTAGAGGCTACACAATAATGGGTCGTTTTAATCTTGCAATCTTGTTGTTCTTTAAAATGCTGGTTTTTGGTACTAATCCTGATAAATACACTTTTCCTTATGTGATTAAGGCTTGTGCTGGTATAAATGCTGTGAAATTAGGTAAATGGCTACATGGGATGGTACAAAGTTCAGGTTTTGAGGATGATGTGTTTGTGGGCAGTGCTTTTATCAAGTTCTATGCGGAGAATGGTTGTTTGGGCGATGCTCGTCTTTTGTTCGATAAAATGTCTCAAAGGGATAGTGTCTTGTGGAATGTGATGCTTAATGGCTATGCTAAAGATGAACAATCAGTGAATGATGTGGTTGAGTTATTTAGGGAGATGAGGAGAAGTGAAACTAAGCCTAATTCAGTAACATATGCTTGTGTTCTTTCGGTTTGTGCCTCGGAAACAATGGTTAAATTTGGTTGTCAGCTTCATGGGCTTGTTGTTAGGTGTGGGTTGGAAATGGATTCTCCAGTAGCCAATACGTTGATCGCGATGTATTCTAAATTTTGTTCCTTGTTTGACGCACGAAAGTTGTTCGATTTAGTGCCACAAGCAGACCGTGTGACTTGGAATGGGATGATCGGAGGGTACGTGCAGAACGGGTGTATGGACGAGGCACTGGAATTATTTCATGAAATGGTAGCTTCCAGTGTCAAACCAGACTCCATCACCTTTGCCAGTTTGCTCCCCTTAGTTTCAATTTCAGAAGATTTACACCAGGGGAAGGCAATTCATGGTTACATCGTGAGACATGATGTATCTATGGATGTTTTCTTAAAGAATGCGATAATTGATATGTACTTTAAATGTGGGAAAGTTGAGGCAGCACGCAACATATTTAACTGCAGCCCTGCGGTGGATGTTGTTATATGTACTGCTATGATTTCAGGATTTGTTCTTAATGGCATGAGTTTTGATGCCCTAGAAGTTTTCCGATGGTTACTTATTAAGAAAATGAGGCCCAATCCTGTTACTCTAGCAAGTACATTACCAGCTTGTGCTAATTTGGCTGCTCTGAGAATAGGTAAGGAACTGCATGGTGTCATTGCTAAGCGTGGTTTTCAAGAAATACTTTATGTGGGAAGTGCAGTGACAGACATGTATGCAAAGTGTGGAAGGTTAGATCTTGCTCAACAAGTGTTCAGAAGGATGTCTGATAGAGACGTTGTTTGCTGGAATTCGATGATCACGAGCTGTTGCCAGAATGCTGAACCGGAATTGGCCATTGACTTTTTCCACCAAATGGGTGCAGATGGAGCCAAATATGATTGTGTCAGCATATCCAGTGCTCTTTCTGCTTGTGCAAATTTGCCAGCTCTACATTATGGGAAAGAAATCCATGGCTTCATTATGAAAAGTGCATTTAGCTCTGATGTTTTTGTGGAAAGTGCATTAATAGATATGTATGCTAAATGTGGGAATTTAGAGGTAGCTTGGCGTGTTTTTGACTTGATGGCGCACAAGAATGAAGTATCATGGAATAGTATTATTGCAGCTTATGGAAATCATGGCCTACTTAAGGACTGTCTGGATTTGTTTCATGGAATGCAAAAAGATGGATTCCAGCCTGACCATGTCACGTTTCTCGCGATCATATCAGCTTGTGGTCATTCTGGTCGAGTTGAAGAAGGAAAGCATTACTTCAATTGCATGACTAAAGAATATGGGATTACGCCCCGAATGGAGCATTATGCATGCATGGTTGACTTGTTTGGGAGAGCTGGTCTTGTGGAAGAAGCATTTGGAGTGATTAAGAGTATGCCGATTGCTCCAGATGCAGGAATTTGGGGAACGTTGCTTGGGGCTTGTCGCTTACATGGCAATACTGAGCTTGCTGAAATGGCTTCTGAGCATCTGTTAGGCTTGGACCCGCAAAATTCTGGCTACTATATATTACAAGCAAATCTACATGCTAATGCGGGTAAATGGGATATGGTTTCTAAAATTCGTCATATGATGAAGGAAAGAGGAGTGCAGAAAATACCTGGTTACAGCTGGACTGAAGTGAACAATGGAACTCATATTTTTGGTGCTGCAGTCGCGAGTCACCCGCAGTCTGCTCAGATATACCTTTTATTAGATAATCTTCTAATGGAGCTGCAAAATGAGGGTTATGTTCCTCAAATTAACCTTCAACAACAGCATAATTATCCCCAGAAGTCTGTTAATTCTGATTAAATCACTATTAACCACATTGAATATAGCTTAGCTCGAGGACTATATCGACACTTCAGGTTAGCATAGATATCATATTTGCGTTGGGCCATTGATTAAAGTTCATTCGACCACATTTGAAAACGGTATTAGATTTAAACTGGGGAAGAATTCATACTTCTTCTGAATGCACAAATGTGTCTGATCTCCATAGCTGTTTCCTTAGTCATCCTCTGTTCTTCTATCTTATGTCTCTCATTGTGTGACCTTTATGTTTACACCCTTTACTTTTCTCATTCTATCTCAGAGTAGGGAGAAATGTGAGAGCAAATTGAGCGCTAACTCCAGATATAAAATGGATCACAGCATAATTGAGTGGAAAATGGCTCCACTTCTGTAAACTGGGTTTATCTGTCCCCTCACATACCCTTCCCCGGCGGTTAAACGATCCATTCACCATATCATCATATCATCATCATACTATATTATAAGCGAGAACACCTCAGGTGAAAAGCTGAAATACTAAAATGCCCTTATAAAGCTAAACGACACTATTAACCCTATATTAAATGCTATTGTAAGTAATATTTTTGGAGAGATCTGTAAATACTCATGAAATAAATACTATATCCGATATAAATGCAATAGAATGAATGTGATGCACATTTACTATCATACTAAATTACTAGCATACCTCCTAATTAAGATTGGCTCTTCGTATTCTGGCTTTGTGTCATTAGATTAATTTTGTTATTTTATTGCTATCGATTGTTTAATGTTATTGATTTCCTTTCAAGTTTGAAGATATTCACGAGATTTTCTTTTGTTCACCTAGGTAGTTTTTAATAATGTTACAACTAATCTTTTTAGGAATATAGGTGCAGAGCAATTGGAAGGCTCAAACTAAAAATTAAAAGGTCTAAATGCCCGGTTGAGCTATATTTTTACCTTTTAAAGATACTTTACCATCTTAAGATTGATGTACAAAAACATAAAATTACTAAATAATATAGAAATTATAGGGGCTAAATCAACTTCGTATGCTTTAGTTATCAAATTTTGGTGTAAGGAAGAGTCCTGCCTCATGTATTCAATATCAAGCATATTCCATTTGACATTTTCTACTAATTTAAAAAACTTTATTCAAAGATAAAATAATGAATATTGTATGTACTTTCAAAATTCATTTCCTTGGTATACAATATCTTCGTGGCTTCTTTCTTGTTGTGTTAACTAAATAAGATCCCAATATTCATCATTTTTAAAGAATTCACATTTTTTATTAATTTTTATTTAATAATTCACTCAAATATCCTTTGAAAATTAAATGACCAAATTATCCTCTAAGTTTACCCTCTAAAATATCACCCTTTTGTAATTTGTATGTACTAAATATTTAATGGGTCGATGATTTAAAAAAAAAAAAAAAGGTAGTGATTATGATTAGCTATTTTCTTACTGATTCAGCCAGACAAATGCACAATGAAGTTAGGCTGATTAATTTTTCATCCTATTAAATGATAAATAATGACTACAAAATGTGTTTTGTTGTTTTCTTATTGGTTCAGCTTCTCCAGATAAATGCACTATGAATTTGGATAATTAATTCAGATTAAATGGTAAATGATAGCTACAAGCATGGGAATTGGAATTAGGATGCTAAACCTTTACATTTATGATTACCATTTCGTCTTCTCCCGTCCTCCTTTATGTTTTCTTCAACATGAATTTTGAACTTTTGCTAATTTGTAAACATTCTTCTTTGTTTGTAGGTACAATTGCTTCACAAAAGTTTCCTGTGAATGCCACCTTTAGAAATTGTAGATGACGATGTTCAAATAACAAGAGTAAGTAATGAAACTTGAAATGGTCATATAACGAGTCCACTTCTTTTTTTCTTTTGTTTATTTCTGTTTCTTCTGTTTGCTTTTGTTTTCCCTCCCAAATGTTCTCTTGATTTTCTTTTTTCTACTCCATTTGTGATTACCTATTCGCCATTTGCCATGCACGAAATCAATCTTCGCTTATCAAACAGGTAAACTATTACTTTTTTGTTAATGCACTTTTATGAGTGCATTGGTTATTCCATTAAATATATTTTCATAGCTATACTGTGATGACCCAAACGGTCATCACTTGTTTTAAATTAAATTCTATGACTCTGAGACCTTGAAAACCTCATTTCGAGTCACCTCGATTTGCGTGCACAGTCCGAGCACGTAGCCGGAAAGCTTAAATGAGAAATTGTGTGAAAAATGATAAGTTTTGACTATAAAATGAATTAATTTGACCTTGGTCAACGTTTTGGGTAAACGGACCCGGACCCGTGATTTGACGGTCCCGGAGGGTCCGTAGGAAAATATGGGACTTGGGCGTATGCCCGGAATCGAATTCCGAGGTCCCAAGCCCGAGAAATGAATTTTTGAAAGAAATTATTTTAGGAAATTGTTTAAGGAAATTGGAAATGAAATTTGATTAGAACATGTTAGTATCGGACCCGTATTTTGGTTCCGGCGCCTGGTACAGGTCTTATATATGATTTAAGACGTTTCTGTGAAATTTGGTGAAAAACGGATGTCGTTTGACGTGACTCGGACTTAAATTGAAAATTTTGATGTTTTATGAAGTTTGAAAGAATTCATGAATTTTGAGGTTTAATTCGATGTTTATGATGTTATTTTGGCGATTTGATCGCACGAATAAGTCCGTAGGATGTTTTTGAGGTTGTGTGTATATTTGGTTTGGAGCCCCGAGGGCTCGGGTGAGTTTTGGATAGGCCACGGGGTGCATTTTTGAACTTGAAATTTGCTGGTATGAACAGACCTGCAGGCTTCGCATTTGCGAAGCCTGGCTCGCAAATGCAAGCTCGCAATTGCGAAGGCTGCCTCACAAATGCGAACAACCCAGGTCTGCCCTTTTCCTCGCAAATGCGAGATTTATGTTCGCAAATGCGAAACCTCCCATATTGGTCAGACCTCGCAAATGCGATCACTGTGTCGCAAATGCGACAATCGCAAATGCGAAGGTCCCTAAAATTTGAAGCGTTCGCAAATGCGAAACAAACTTCGCAATTCCCATATCTGCAGAGGTCGGGGTTCGCAATTGCGAACCCCTATTCGCATTTCCCATAACTGAGACCTGCATTTTTCTATACTTAGCCGATTTTAAGTCATTTTTCACATCTTTTTCAAAACACAACTCCTTTGGGCGATTTTCCAAGAACAAGTCTTCTTCCAAATCAATTGTAAGTTAGTTTTTACTCATTTCTTTCAATCATTAACATCTTTTAACATGATTTCAACCTAAAATCAAAGATTTTCATGGGGGAAATTAGGTATTTTGGGTAGAACCTAGGTTTTTCAAAAATTGGGGATTTGGACCTCAATTTGAGGTCCGATTTCAAGACAAATTATATATTTGAGTTCATGGGGGAATGGGTAATCGGGTTTTGGTTCGAACCTCGGGTTTTGACCACGTGGGCCCGGGGGCGATTTTTGACTTTTTAGGTAAAACTTTGGAAAACTCATTTTCATGCATTGGGGTTGATTCATTTAGCACTTATTGATGTAATTAAGTAATTTGTGATTAGATACGAGCGAATTGGCGGTGGAATCAAGAGGTAAAGCTATAATTGAGACTTGAGTTGTGTTCGAGGCATCGAGGTAACTGTTTGGTCTAACCTTAGCTTGAGGGATTAGGAGTTGCCTCCTATTTGCTATTTGTTTCTTGTTGAGTACTATGTATAGGCATGGTGACGAGTATCTATACGTCGGTGTCGAGCATGACAGTCTTATATTGTGATTTCCATGATTTCGTTGTATTATTCATGCCTTGGTGAAAATTTCTATTTGTTGTGTAAAGTTGTGAAAAGAATTGTGACCTATGAACGTTGAGAAGCGTTGGCTCCAGTTGTATAACGAATTGGGAAAGCATAAGTGATAATTGAACCTCTAGAGCAGTGGCTCGAGTGATGAAGTGAATTGTGAAGTAAAAGTGAGAAAGAGAAGAGATCATTATGTTGCCCCCTTTGCCGGGCTATTGTTGAGTTGTGGTTCCCTTGTATTGTGTTCTTCATTGATATTACGGATACTTAGGTTGATGATTCTTTGTGTTAGGTAAGGATTATGGTTGTAGCTGAGGTAGTTAGATGTTGGGACAAGTTTGGGTATAGCTGAGGTAGTTAGGTGTTGTAACAAGTTTGGGTATAGCTGAGGTAGTTAGGTGTTATAACAAGTTTGGGTATAGCTGAGGTAGTTAGGTGTTGTAACAAGTTTGGGTATGGCTGAGGTAGATAGGTGTTGTAACAAGTTTGGTTATAGCTGTTTCGTTTTTCCTTGCCGGGATAGTGTAGACCTTTTATCCCTTGTCGGGACTCTTGTTATAATTGTAAATATTATATATGGATCGGGTTGCACGCCGCAACAATATTATATATGGATCGGGTTGCACGCCGCAACAATATTATATATGGATCGGGTTGTACGCCGCAACAATATTATATATATGGATCGGGTTGCACGTTGCAACAATATTATATATATGGATCGGGTTGCATGCTGCAACAATATGATATGGGAGCGGGTGGTACGCCTACCACGAGATATAATGAAATGGGAGCGGGTGGTACGCCTACCACGAGATATAATGAAATGGGAGCGGGTGGTACGCCTACCACGAGATATAATGAAATGGGAGCGGATGGTACGCCTACCACAAGATATAATGAAATGGGATCGGGTTACACGCCTGCAACAAGATGTGAAAAGAAAGTGAAATCTGCCTTTGTTTTCCTTATTCTTGCTAGTGGTTGGATTTTGATTCCTTTATAGTTCTCTTGATATTCTGCTTTTACCTGTTATTCCCCGAAGCATGTTTCCCCCTCCCATCCTTACTTGCTTATACCTGCTTTACTTTCCGCTGTATATTATATAACTGCACAGGTTTATTTGATAGTCTGGTCCTAGCCTCGTCACTACTTCGCCGAGGTTAGGCTAGGCACTTACCAGCACATGGGGTCGGTTGTGCTGATACTACACTCTGTGCTCTTTTGCACAGATCCAGGTCCCGGACAGCAGCAGTAGCTCGGGAGCCAGCCTTCAGTCCACCGAGACTCCGAGGTAGCCTTGCACGCGTCCGCAGGCCTGGCGTCTCCTCTATCTTATATTTCATTCTGTTATCTCATGTTTTCGAGACAAACAGTGTTATATTTCTTTCAAACGATTGTATTTAGTACTCTTAGTAG